CACACCCACGCACACACGCACGCACGCACGCACGCACGCACGCACGGACGGACGGACGGACGGACGGACGGACGGACACATGCACATGCACATGCACACGCACACGCACGCGCACGCACACGCGTGCGCACCCACCCACCCACACACACACACGCACACACGCACACATACACAGACACCGGCAACCACATAGATGAGCATGCATATATACAGAAATGACTAACACATGTAGGCATACACACACACACAATTTGTGTATGTCGATATTCCGATCTTGCCACATTTCTTTTACAGAACCGATGCCAGGACAAGTATGCAATCGGCCACCAGCTTGGTTCAGGACGGACTGGAGTGTGCGACTGCGAGCGAGTGTGCAATGATTCTGGCTGAAGTCCTCGTGACGCACTGACACGCCGAAGTTCCACGAAAGATATATGACGGGACAAAGGCTTTGTCAACTCTTGTAACTCGGAGCAGCTGCGATGTTGTTCTGCCAGGCAGTTATGGGTCTGTGACTTGTCTGCACGATTTGTTTTTTTGTGGCCCAGACTTCAGCTCGATGCAGTCGCAGATGTGTCGGGCTTTGGTTCCTGTACCTTTCTATGTCGCTCACGTCACTTTAATGACTTTAATGCGAGGGAACCTTGCTTGCCCCCATCACCATCTTATTGCCCTTGCCATTCGCCGTTGGTGGCTTGCCGTTCATAAATCTTCATTCCATTTGTTCTTTAGCCTGCCTTTCCTGTCCTTTCACCGTTCGCTACTCACTATCCGCTCTCGACGGTTCAGGCCATCATTTAATGCTAACCGTTTGCAGTTTGTCATATGCTGGTAGCGGTTCACATGTCATAGTCACCAACATCGTCATCATCATCATCGTCATCACCATTGATGATGATTATCATCATCATCATCATCATCACCATCATCATCATCAGCGTCATCATCGTCGCTGACGATGTCCGTCTTGACAACACAGTCGCTACGGCTGTCATTCCGAAGCAAGTCGGTCAAGCCGTAAATGTCCTGGCTTGAGTGTAAGTGTGCACCTGTGGTCCGTGAATACTTCGGTGAACTACTACTCCAAGTGCTAAACCAGTTCAACTGCGCAGCCGATGGTGGCTTTGGTGATGTTTGTGATGATGATCACAAGGAGGAATCAGGTGATGATGGGAATGAGAAGGCCGACAGCGATGGCGATGATGCTGGTAACGAGGATGATGGTGATGATTTCGATGGTGATGATGTTGATGGTGGCGGATGGTCATGGTGATGACGATGATGAAGTGATAGCAGCAGCCGCAACGATCATACTCATAATGCTCTTGCTGATATTGACACAGTGTGGTGAACATGATATGGATATTACTGTTACTGATGGAAGTAATGCTAAGGTATACTCCGTCCACCTGCGTGATGCTCCACATGATGGAACTCGCGCTGCGAAGGCTCCCGGCTGAGTTCACACTGTCCTGGCACGCGGTGCAGATCTTCAGGTGATTGATATTGCGCCGAGCGACCAAGCGACCAATCACAGAACCAGGCGCTGTGTTTTTCCACCAAACCCTAAACCCTAGGCCGTGTGATGCAAACTTGGATGGCCCTTGGCCAGGACACTCAAGGGGCTGTTGACGGAGGTCGACCTTTGGCAGCATGGGGGCCATCATGCAGGCGCTGAGTCAATGAGCCATGTTAAGCTCTCTTCAATTTCCCGGCCCCCCCGGATTGCGAAGGGGAAAAACAGAGTCAGCTGCCCAGCAGCTTCAAGTCTGACATTGAGCACTTACTGCTCTTTGACTACGACGTCCGGACGCAAGAACGGTGCAGACACAGGGCACCCTCGATGCGGCTGACTGCTCGGCTTTTCCAAGCACTTGCTGCCGGGTTCACATCTCTATCTGCGATTGTTCTTGTTTGCCTGTTTCGCAGGCATCGTGAAGCTGTTCGAAGTTTTCGTCGGCGCAAACTATTTTGCAGAAGCTTGGCTTGCATCAGATTCACCCTCCGTTTACCAGGCGTTCCTCAAGCCAGTCTCAGGCCATTATGGAAGAGTGTGGGCCCAGCCTCCTGCAGCGAGTTCACGAGATTGGGCGAATGAAGGCTGCAGGCACGGAGCAACGCCAGCAGGAGTAGTTTGAGTAGTTCTTGCGCAAGCCTGTGGATTCTGCTGCAGATGTGGCACGCATCCTGAAGCAGATGCTACAGCCCATCTGCCACCTACACGACTTGTGGCTTGGCCTGGTGATGCAGCGTAGGACGAGTGAGGGTCTTGTATCTGGCAGCCTGAGCGTGCATGTGCGGTGGGACCATTTGAAGAATCTGCTCCCGGCACTGTCCCGCCAAGGCAGATTGTGCACCGAGACATCAAGCCCGAGAATTTTCTCTTCGAACATGCGGTGGACAGGTCTGTGCGCTTTACTTTGAGTGCTGGTGTTGAGACGTCACCGTGAAGTGTCGCTACCGATATGCAGTGCTTTGCAGCAAGTTTGCCAACGAAGTAGCTGTAATCACTGCGACCAGAGGCTGCAGAATGTTGAGAATGCTTGTCGCTGAAGCATGCACAGGTCCCGGGTCAAGCTTTGTGATTTCGGCATGGCGGCGAAGGTTCCAATGGGAGGCTGGTTGCATCATACCACTCTGCTCTTCAAGTACTTCTAAGCACACGTGTATCGCTGCCGCTGGCTTGTGCAGCCACTGCAGTACAAGATGCTAGCGCTCTTAGAAGGTAGAGCAGTCGGCGGCATGCGAAAAAAACTAGGAGCCAGGTTGTGGACGCAAACTTTCGGAAAAGTGTGGAGGGATCGCGTTCTCGAAATTGTAGTGATGGCTCTGGCCCAGAGCACGCCTTACAGTGTCGATAGCGCATTGCCGGGAACATGTTCGGAGGAAGGTTCGGACAGCTTCTGTCCCAGTGCATCCCATCTCGCGTTCTCGGACGGGTCTAGCAGAGAACATGCCTTGCGGCATTCTTCATGCATACTGTTCGGGAAATGCTCGAATTGCGGCTTCGGATGGAAGCTGTCGAGTGGCATCAGTCTTGCCATGCATGTCAAGTCGAAGCATCACGCATCGTCATGCTGGACAGCATCCGTCAACAAAGTAGGCCCTCTCCCTGAGCAAGGATAGTTGGAGGGATCTGAATGTTAAGGCCTTTACAGATTTTTGTTTAAACAAGGGGTCTGAATGCCCTAAACCCTAAACCCCAAACCCCAAACCCTAAACCCTAAATAGTGCCCAGGGCCCCAACGAAGAGCATTTGTTCCAGTCAGCCCAGGCCTTCTCCGGGGCCGCTTCGGCACACTGCCCTACATGTCTCCAGAGATGGTTTCCAGAAGCAGGGTACTCAAAAGGCGGTTTTTTTTAGGGTTTTGGGGTTGAGGGAAGTAGGAGAAGGGAGGAGCTTCTAGGCAGGAGAAGCCGGGAGTATCAGCCGCAAGACTTCGGCACTTGTAGGGTAATCTGGGGTCAACTGCTGCACCGAGGCGGTCACAGCTTTGCCACGGACGTCTGGTCTTTCGGTGCTTCTGCTTACTTCCTGCTCTTCCAAGAGTTCGTGCTTCTCAGCAGAAACGTATCGTGGAGGCTGGCATGAGGCTTATGGTGTCCAGGGCCGGGGCCCGACGGGCTTCGCTCCCTGAGGTTCCTCAGTTTCAAGACTTGCATCGGGGTCGTGCAGAGGAGCTGTGTTTCAGTATGCTGAGAGCTGCAGAGAGTCTAGCCAGTCTAGCAACTGAGCTGCGTTTTTTTTCGTCTCCTTACGGAGGAGTAAAGCTGGACCCAAAACTTTCACTCGATCTCGAAGTCTTGCTGGCGCTGTGCGCGCGGAAGGACGCGGAAGCGCTGCGGAAGGCTTTGCGCGCGGAAGGGCGCGGAAGCAACAAATACGTAAGACTCCGCGCCCAAGGAATTCATGCTTCGAAAGAGACATAGAATATTACCTGAACCAGCTAGTGTTGTACTCTTCCGGGTTTCAGGTCTGCATCCAGGAATCCCGAGGCAGCCCAGGAACCAACTGGAATTCCTATTCATTGGCACGGATTCCGCCTATGAATCCATCTGTGATCCTACTGTAGCTGTCGGCGGTTTCATATTACATGGTGCCCGCGGTTGCTGAAAGGAGTTGGCGTAATACGTCAAGAGGGGTTTATGCTCTTGCGGAAGGGTTCGCTTGCAAAAGGGTCCGCGGAAGGGCACGCGGAAGGGACGACATGCAGTGACTCAGAAACGTGCCAACGTCTCGAAGCGCGGAAGGCTGCGGAAGCCGTGGCGGAAGGGTTGTGCGGAAGGGGTTTTTGCGTCCTTAGGATGGAAACAGAATAAACAACACCGCTCAGGTGAAGGCCGACGCCGACAAGGTGAAGGAGTTCCGCGCATCCCTGGCCAAGCTGGCAGACATCTACTGCTCCGATGCCTTCGGCACTGCCCATCGTGCTCACAGCTCCATGGTCGGAGAAGGCTACCCCGTGAAGTGCTCTGGCTTCCTCCTGGCCAAGGAGCTCGACTACTTTGCCAAGGTGGTGGACGCGCCCACCAGGCCGGTGTGCGGCATCCTCGGCGGAGCGAAGGTCGCCGACAAGATCCAGCTGATCATGAACCTCTTGGACAAGGTTGACATCATGATTATCGGAGGAGGCATGGCTTTCACCTTCATCAAGGAGGCCGGTGTGGACATCGGCAACTCCCTCTACGACGAGGAGGGTGCCAAGCTGGTGCCGGAGATCAGGAAGCTGGGTTCTGGTTAAGGAAGATTATTGACCATACCGAAGGTGAGCGGTGTATAGTGACTATCTTGCTTGTAATCTGCTTGCCTCGTGGCGACAAAAACTGATTGTTCTTAACTTATATATGCATATAGATAGATAGATAGACAGATAGATAGATAGATATATAGATAGCCCAGGAAGAAGGCCGAGGAGAAGGGCGTGGAGCTCATTTTGCCGGTGGACTTCGTGTGCTCCTCCAAGTTCGGGGATGACGGAGAGATCCAGGAAGGTGACATGAGCACCGGGGTTCCTGAGGGCTTCCTGGGCCTCGACATTGGCCCCAAGTCCATCGAAATGAACGACGAGGCGCGGGCTTTCGCTGGCATACTAAGGCGTCCCGAAGCGCAGGAACGTACTCCTGAATCCACCGGGTCTTGACATAACTCAGAGAGAAGCCGGGTGCCCGCTAAACTGAGCTACGCCGCTGCAGGCCATCAAGAAGTCCAAGACGATCGTCTGGAACGGTCCGATGGGTGTCTTCGAGATGGAGGCCGCCCGGGACGCTTCTGATTCGTAGTTTAAGTCTGGGCAATACCTTCGCTCGGTTGCCAGGCTTTCGAAAAGGGGACGAAGCAGATGATGGAGACCATCGTGTCGGTCACGAAGGACGGCGCCGTCTCCGTGATCGGTGGTGGGGACACCGCCACCGCCTGCAAGAAGTATGACACTGTTGACAAGGTCTCTCACTGCAGCACTGGTGGCGGTGCATCCCTGGAGCTTTTGGAGGGCAAGCTCCTCCCGGGCGTGGCTGCGCTGGATGATGCGTAGGCTGCTGACATGCTCATATTTTTTTGTATTTTTCCGTTTAACGAAATATGTTTGAGTTTGGGTTATGGCACATTACATTCCCCTTTGCTGTGGATGCTTGAGAAAAGGCTCCTTTGGAGAAAAGACTACTCAAGAGATCCAAGAAACTAACCACTGGGAGACCATCAAATTCCAAGAGATCCTAAAGAGATCCTGACAGACCAACAAGATAATAATAAGAAACCAGGAGACTACTCACAAGAATTTCTGAAAAACAAACTAATTGATATTGGGACTTGCAATAGTTTCGGTGCTATGAAATTGTTTATTTTATTATTTATCTACGTAATAGTCTTTATCGCGAATTCTAGATACGTACTTATTTCGATTAATCTGCATATTCTTAGACTTATATCTTCAAATGTAGATATATATTTCTGATATATATAGACACACACATGCACTTTTTTTTGCAGGAATATATTTTATTTTAACATATGTTCCATTTGTCGTAAAGAAATGATTATAGTTTAAACAATAATATATTTTCGTATATTAAACAATATATTATTATATGTGAAAAATCTGAAATAATCTGAAATTACGATATGAATGTATTTCTATATAAACATAAAGCGGTTGCTACTTGTCTATTTTATATAGACTTTTTTGATTTTTTTAAAAATATTCTGAATTAATTCTTCTTCGCAAAAACATACATGTTTAATATAGTACAAGACATTATTGAACAATTAAGAATAGAAAATAAAAATGATATTTCACCGAAATTCCATTAATATTGTAATAATTTGGGAGTAGTTTATTGAAATTTTTGGATTTTATAATATAATATATTTTGGAAATATAAAACATAAGGAGAATCTGAATTTTAGCATAGTGAAGATACTCTCGTGGTAAAATTAATCGAAATATCGGAGATAAGAACTATGAATCAACAGATGTATTTATTTCATATCTCGATTATTATTCGAAATACAAGCCCATCTATATACGAAAATTGAGAAAATCTTATATATTCATCATTTTTATAAGCTAAAATCTGTAAGGACATTTCGAATCTCTAATTCTTCATATTTCAATGATAGTATGGAAAGATATAGGAGTTTCATGGGGACTTTTCTATTTTACATTCGAAAGTGACAGATGGACCAGCATAATATAAAAATCTGATGCGGGCATATAAGGAGCAAATTCTAAATTCAGGCAGAAATTCGGTAAAAAAGCACGCAATCTTGGCATCGGGGCTGGTAGTCTGATTGCAAGCTGGCGCAATGCTGACGGAGATACGGGGATCAATTGAATTCATTAGATGCTTCTCTATACATAGCATTCCCGGACGATAAATTAGAATCTCCCTTATCACCAGTCAGCGACTGCAAAGAAAAAGGACAAGAAAAGAGCTCAAAAGGCAGCGGACGATGATGAGTTCGATGCTGCTTTGGATGAGTTCCAGGAAGACAAGCCGGAGCCAAAGGCAAAAGCTGCTCCAAAAACAGCAGCCGACAAGAAGAAGGCCCAGAAAAAGGCAGCCGATGAAGACTTTGATGCTGCTTTGGACGAGTTCCAGGAAGACAAGCCGGAGCCAAAATCAAAAGCTGCTGCAAAAACAGCAGCCGATAAGAAGAAAGCCCAGAAAAAGGCCGCTGATGAAGACTTTGACGCGGCGTTGGATGAGTTCCAGGAAGACAAACCGGAGCCAAAGGCAAAAGCTGCTCCGAAAACAGCAGCCGAGAAGAAGAAGGCCCAGAAGAAGGCAGCCGATGAAGACTTTGACGCTGCGTTGGACGAACTTCAGCCACCTGCTGAAGAATCGGCTCCAGAACCAAAGGCCAAGGCAGAAGCAAAATCGGCTAGCCAGAAGAAGAAGGATAAGAAGAAGGGCCAGAAAGGGGATGCAGACGACGATTTCGATGCGGCCTTGGATGAACTCGGTGACAAGCCAGAGGCTGCATCCAGCACCCGCCTGCTTCAACAACTGGGTCTTGTGGATTTTTGAAGATTTTTTCTTTTACGTTAAATTACCGCGAACGGGCCGAAGGGGCGGCACGAGGTAGAGGCGGTGCGAGGCGGTGCCACGGCGCGGTACGGGGCGGAACGGGACGGGGCGGTATGGGGCGGTATGGCTCGGCACGGTGGAAAGCGCGACCGCTACGGGGCAGCACGAGTGGGGGATCCTACCTACAGGGCGGTACGAGAAGGTTCTAATTTTCTTGTCGTGGGGCCGCCAGCTATAAAACTAATGAAACCATCTAGAAAAATTCCAAATCCTATCGAACCCAGCTGTTGAACTCAGGTATTTCTACCTTGCCTTGGCGATGTTTCTAGTTCTCAGTTGCTGCTGGGGGAAGCGGCGCCCGACAAAGCAAGACGACGCTAGGAAGAAATTGTGGAGACAAGGATCATTTTAGTTTGCTGTCCGGGAGAAAAATATATTGAAACCAATCGATCATTTTAATCTTATATTTTTTGAAATCTGAAAATTTAATATGCGTGATATCTATATATTTAAACAGAGTTGATAGATATTATAAGAATTTGCTAGTCTGAAAATACTGATAAAAGCGATATATGATTTGAGATATAATGAAGATGTAATTTAGAAATCGTGAACTTGTGGAGCGAGTGGCATCTCTGCACCTGGTCGGAGAGTTCGTAGTGGCGAACATCATGCAATTCTGAGGGAGACTCAGTTGTCCTGGCAGCCCTTTGGTCGATGCCTTGCAGACCTACAGTTCCGATGCTTCCGACTGCTGGGAAGACGACAGTAACCGTTTCGAATTTCGCCTTAATGTCAACAAACACCGTGCAGTTTTCGGCAATGGATCTCTCAAAGACCAAAGCCTCTAGGGCTGTGCGTAGTCACTTCAGTGATATTGCCGCCTATGTTCGAAGCATTCTGAAAGAAATAGAGGGTGTCAACATCACCTTCATTGGCGGTTCGCAGCACCGGTTCACTATTCCGGAAAGCTGGCTGCGGTGCTGCATCTTGCAGCGCAACGCATGCAAGGCCATGGTGGTCCTGAAGACGATCGGTACAAGTGAGCCCGTTTCGCGTCGTCGTGTGCGCAAGACGCAGCTGAAACGAAGCAGCTGAAACGAAATTGCGCTATCTTTGCTGTACTGCTCTACAGAGGTACAAGCCACAATGCGAACAGGAGTTTTTTCCCCCAGGTGCACAGTCCAGGCTGTAGAATACTGCGCTAGAACCTTGAGCATGGAGGCATTCATGCTCTGATTAGTAAACCTGCTGACATGCACGTACGGGGCTTCTTCCACCCCAGAATCTAAGCAGGGGGTGGAGGGGTGGTTTTGTGAACGGGCGCTCAACATGTTTCAATGCGTTGAACCATTGCGCTCACAAATTTCTTCTTTCGGGTTTGCGTTATCCTCCCAGCCCAAAAAACAAGCCGTAGACTGCTTTTTTCGGTAAACCGAAAGCTTCACTGTTGTGCTCCGGGTGGTCCTATGTGTGGCCCGGCGGTGCAGTTTCGCATGGCCTCTTCAAGCAGGAAGGCTGCCGAAATTCTGCGTGGACACGGCTACCGTTTAGGGTCTAAGGTTTATCTTTCATAGTTATTGTTCGGAAAGTTTTCGGGGCGAAGATTTAGCGTGTGGCATGTGTTTTTGGTTGCGTTCTCTGAAAATGAAATAAAGTTTGCATTGTGGGTAGGGTGCCTTCCCATCATTCACGAGCTCTTCCGTGCCCAAGAGCTGAAAAGCGTAGTGTATGCACGTGATATTGTAAACAGTAATCTTCCATTGTGCTCCGGGCTCCGCACTAGCATGACACACGTATATCACTATATCATGACTACTGCCGTCTCATACTATACTGTACTAGATCATATACTGTTGGCAAAACACCTCCTGAAAGCATGAACCCCTTTCGCTTGGAGCTAGCAAACCAAGCCCCCCCTGATTGCAGGCGATGCACGTGGAGTTGTTCAGCTTCCGGTCTCTGGGACATGACAGTGTGCTCGCACCAAGGGTTTTTACTTCCATACGATCCTCGACGGGTTCTTCGAGGTTTAGCACGAATTTGCAGAGCAAGGCTGATTCAAGGTTCCCATAGAATTCGCGTAAGACATTCTAGGTTGAGAGTCCCTCCACCCTAAATTTAGGGAGTGGGCAGCGAGCCCCCCAGAAAACCTTCCATTTTTCATGCTTGAAATTTTTCAGCTAAATGAAAATTGTATATATTTATAAAAACCAAAAAACGCAGAAGCAACCCGACGATGTCATTCATTATTACGAGCAACAGATCCTTTCTAATATAAAAAACTTCTATTCTTATTTTAATTGAGAGCATGAATCGAAACACTTTAAAAACATAAACAATTTTTTCAAAAGCCCGATTTAGACACTCTCTAATAAAACGATGACGTGCTGGTCGCGTCCGTTTTGTTGTTCGCACCCCTGCTCCCTGGAACTTGGTCCCGTGACGCGCTTCCTCTTGAAGGCCTCTTGCATGGTTGTCTCGCGGTATTAAAATGCTGGAAACTTTAGTGCCGCAAGCTCTTAGCTTTCGGTACTAAAATTTCAGAAATTTTGGTAGCTTTAGGAAGTCTCGCGGTAATATTTGTTTTAAATTTTGGGGGGAACATGTGGCAGGCATGCTCGCGATCATCAAATTTCTAGGTTTTTTGGTTCATGCTCACGATCATAAACTTTCCGAAACTTATGGGAAAGGGCTGTCTTAGCTTCAAGGCGGAATAACATGGAAAGCCATTGCGCCAATGGTTTCGAAGCACATAGTCTTTTTTGACGGGTAGCTTTAGGGTGACACTGCTGCGATAATACAATTCTGCAGATTTCTAGCAGGCATGCTCACGGTCGGGTGTTTAGCACATGCTTGCAGTGATAGAATTTCGGGAAGTTTTGGCGGGCCAGGGCTATCTCAGCTTGAAGGTCGGAACAACATAAAAAGCCACTGTACCGTTGGATTAGAAGCACATATTCTTTTTTGTTGGGTATTTCTTAGAACGGCCACGGACGGACGG